GAGAGGAAGGAAGAGGGAGAGAGAGATAGAAACATCAATAATGAGAGAATATCATTGATTGACTGTGTCTTGCAGGCCCCCTACTGGGGATCAAGCCCACAAACCAACCATATGCCCTTGACTGGAATCTAACCCGGGACTTTCCAGTCTGCAGTCCAATGCTCTATCCACTGAGCCAAACCAGCTAGGGTTCAAGGAACTTCTGATCTGAGACCTTCTGAAGCTGTGCCCGCCACCCTCACCCCACCCCACCCCACCCCCAAGTTTTGCTTGGGTCTGTAACACAGCCGTGAATAACCTGACACCCCCACCTGGATGTGGTATTCATTTACCCACAGCTGAAGTTGTGGAATATTTCTGCAATGACAAGGTCGAAGCGCTTTGACCTCTTCAAGGCCATTTCATATTTATTTGCTCATCTGGTCCTCACACCCACACTTTGAGTGAGGTCTGACTGGCGCTTAATCATCTCTATATTACAGGTGAGGCCCAGAGAGGTGTTAGGCTTGCAGAATGTTCTAATTCAGCTAAAATTTAAAAATATGTATCTTTGTTAAGCAAGACAAATGCCTAACACCGTGTCCAGCACCTGATAAAAATGCGTTGGGTTAAAAACTGAACGACTGTAAACATGGTATGGGCTGGAAGTGGGGAATCGTAGTAATAATAGTAGCAGACATTAACACTATGAGCCACTGTTCCCTGCCTCAGAGCACTGCTTCTCAAGCTTTAATGTGCTTTCAGATCACCTGGGATCTTGTTAAAATGAAGCAGGTTTGGGTTCTGAATTTCAATCAAGTTTTCAGATGTTGGTCCTAGGACATCTGTTAAGCAGCAAAGTCCTAAGGGGAGGATTCTAAAATAGATTAATTATTGCCCCACCATCCTACAAAAAAATTTATAATCATATCCATCCTTACCTATGGTTGACTCAACTATGATCTTGTGACCATGTGCATCTGTAGCTAAGAGAGACACAGTTCTCTTTACCTTGGAAGCAAAACTTGGGTCCTTAACATAGAAGTAAATAACTTGATACCCGGGTTCTTACTTTTCTCCCTTTCTCACTGTCTGGAAGGTAACAGTGTCTCGGGAAACCACGGGCACTGAAGCTCTTCCCAGGATTTGGGTGTTCTGGTCCCTGAAAGTAAAGAAAGAAAACAAAGGGCATTTAAAAAAAATCAGTATATATATATATTCAATGATGAGAGAGAAAAACTGATCGGCTGCCTCCTGCACACCCACTACTGGAGATTGAATCTGAAAACTGGGCAAGTGCCTCAATCGGGAATCAAACCGTGACCTCCTGGTTCATAGGTCAACGCTCAACCACTGACCCATACCAGCCAAGCAACAAAGGGCATTTTTCAACATATTTCTGATGAGGGGATGTAGGCTGGGACTAATGTAAATAATGAACACAATAATAATGGTCTTAGGGTCTAGAGAACAGACCCCAAAGGCAGCAGGAGTGAAGCCCTGGGCTTGGACCCAAGCTGCAGCCTCCCAGCTGTGTCAGCTAAAGCCCTCTCTTGGGGCTTTGGTTTCCCATCCATTAAACAGGACGGATGTAGAATATCATCTTGTGTGATTGTTATGAATGCTAAATGAGCGTGGCGTCTGCTTGCATACTAAGAGCTCAGTACATGTTTAGCATCACATCTATTCTGACTGGTTTTATAAAAGAGGAATACAGCCCTTACAGGAGAAATGACTTCTATAGTGTTAGTGGCTTTGCCAAAACTCAAGCCCAGGATCTCTGAGGCACAATCTGGACTTTTTACCTCCAAACCGCTCAGAACAATACAAGTGCCTCTCAGCTCTGAGCTGCACAGTCAGAATGATCTGAATGATTCTTGTGCATTTTCTCCTTTGTTCTCATGGTTGTTTGTTATTGTTATTTGTGTGTGTGTGTGTGTGTGTGTGTGTGTTGGTTTGTTTTCTTGTTTAATAATGTGGATTGGGAAATTCATGACTAAACATCTAACATTTCAACTGTTGTCACCCAGTTCCATGAAGCAGTCCCAGGCCACTGGGTGGAAAAGAAACTAAAGTAGAATGTAGTTAGAAACCAGGATGCCCAGTCAGGGTCCACAGGCCCCTTTGAGAAATTCATCAAAAGTGAGGGATTTTTGCCAACATATTTTTTTCATTATATACAAATGTTTGTATATTGTTTCTGATTATCCCAGACTCCTTCAAAATCTGTGAAACCTGTTTTAACATCTCTTCCAGATATAATGTAAAACCAATATAATAAAACACTAATATGCAAATTGTCCCCTCCACTGGGAGTTCGACCAGGGGGTGGGGCCAGCCGGCCAACCACCTGCGGCCCCTTCCCCCAGCTGGCCCCACCCTCAATTCCCCCCCCACCCCTCCCCCGCCATTGGGGCTGGCCAACTACCTGCAGCCCCTCCCCCTGGCTGGCCCGGTCTATCAGCCCAACTAGGGCAGGCCAGACCCCACCTGTGCATGAATTCGTGCACTGGGCCTCTAGTATAATATAAAACCAATATAATATTAATAATTCCATGCTTGTCCTGGTACTGGCTCCCCACACAGATGATTGGTGAATATGTCCTGGTGAATGAATAAGCGTGGGTACGTAGGAAACTGCAAGAAATCGCGGAGTCTTCACTTTCTTTTATGATGCACAAGGATGATTCCAAAATGATTTTAAAATTCTGGAATTTAAAATATTTTTAATGGCTTGGTTCAAGAGAACCTATGACTTTGCAAACCGAATGGCATTGTAAGTGTGTCTGGTCTCAGAAAGAGCTACCATGTCCTCTTGGAGATGCAGGACTGCACAGTCCTGAATTTCATATTCACATGAAATCACTCCACATTTGCCACATCCCCATGGCCACACCTGTTTCTGAGCCAGCTTGCCTTACTGAAGGGCCAGTTCCCAGCAGGGCTCTGCCTGCCCCTCTCCTGCCTGGGACAGGCCCGCCCTGCAAAGGCACAGATGCTTGCTGGCGCTGACCCAGCAAGGCTGAGTGCTCCTGGTGCATTGCTAAGTGAAGCAGTCACGACTGGGCTTGAGTTTCTCCCCCAGGGAACTGTTCTCTGAGGTGAAGGCTGAGCTGAAGGTCTCCACCCTTCATGAAATCCCAAGCCTCCCGGGGCTGAGAAAGGGCAATGAAATCATGACCTTAACCAGCGATGCCCCAAATGAAACACTTCCTCATGGCCCTTCAACACCCCAACCTTTTCTCCCCTGGGACTCTATGGTTGCCTCCTACTAAAATCTCTCTTCCCCATTTCTTCATGTCTTTCAGAGCCTACTAGCAACTGCCCTGCTCCAGAAAGTCTCCTCCGACCCTCCCAGTGAGACAGACACGGGCCCTCCTCCTTACCCAGACAAGTGGGATACTCCAATAATGAGGATACTCCCATAAGGTTGGTGACCAGGGATTGGGCACCGCAGTGCTGTGCCCAGCACCACAATATGTATATAATGATAGCTCCCATCCTCAGAAAACCCCTGCATAATAGGTTCCTGGCTGCACAGATAAGGAAACTGAGCCAGGAAGGTCACGTGCGGTCCGAAGTCCCCAGCTGGTGAGGATCAGCAGCAGTTGGAAGCCGCCCACAGCTTTTACTGCTGGTGCATGTCCTCTTTGCTGTGTAGCTTAGTGATGTACAGTTAATTTCCCCCCTGGCTGGTTGGTAGGTCCCTCGAAGAAGTACTATGTTTTTCATTCAGTTCTTTTACAGGCTATCACATCCCGTTGTTTTGTTTCTCCCACGTCATGTCTCACTATTTGGAAGAACCTTGTTTATTTATCTGTTTACTTTATTGTTATCCTTCTCCCACTGGAATGGGGACTTCAGGGGAACAAGGACGGTGTCCATTTTGCTCACCATTGTTTCTCTCGCATCTAGAACATGCCTGGCTCAGAACCCACACTCAAATGTTTGTTAAATGAAAGAAAAAATGGAAAAAGGCAAGGAGGAGAGGGAAGGGGAGGGTGAACTAATAAATATTTACTAACGAAATGAATCCAGTAAGCACCCTAGAGCATTTAGAAAAAGCTTCGATGTGTGACGAAGGAACGCGTCTGTATTGGCTGCCAGGAAAATTGTTCAATTTGTTCCTTAGGACCGTCTTTCAAAGAATCAAAAGAGGAAATAAATGCCCACAAAAATCAGAGCCAAGGAATAGCTATCAAATTACAAATGCTAATACCATTTGACAAGGAAATTCCACTTCTAGAAAATTATTCTACAGACATACTCACAGGCGTACAAGGTTATTCATTACAGCATTATTTGTTGTAGCAAAAGATTGGACACAATCCATATGCCCATCAAATGGAGACTGTTGAATATGAATTACGGTAGCTTTATACAATGGATTATCACGCAGAGCTGAGAAAGAATGAGGAAGCTCTCTCTATGCGGACAAGGGAAGATATACAGTCTACATTGTTCATTGAATAATGCAGGGCGCAGAACAATATGTCTAATATGTCACACTTTGTGTAAAAATGGGAGGAGTGGATGCAGTCTGCTGCATGTGCACAAAGAATACGGGAAGGAGAGAAAAGGAAGTAGGCACAATGGTGGAGAATGGGGGAGGGGGAGGCCCCATAGATGGGGGATGAGAGTGGAAAGAAGACTTTTCAGGGTATAATAATATTAGTCAGTTTGGGCTGCTCTAACAAAATACCACAAACTGGGTGGCTTTCAAACAACAGAAATTCATTTCTTATAGTCCTAGAGGCTGGAAAGTCCAAGATCAAGGTGCCGGCAGACTCAGTGTCTGGTGAGGCTCGACCACATAACTTGTTTCGTTTCACAAGTTCACAGCTGGAGAACTTGCTCCAGGATGAATCGTACCTGGAGTCTCATCCCTATCTGATTTAGGTGCTATTTAGATGAGACTTTGAATTTAGACTTTAAAGTTGATGCTTGAGTGAGTTAAGACTTTTGAGTTTGTTGGGATGGAATAAATGTATTCAAGAAGGACATGAGTTTAGGAAGGGCAGGGGTGGAATGCTATAGACTGAAAGTTTGTGTCCCCCCCCAAAACTGATATGTTGAAACCTAATCCCCAACAAGATGGTATTAGGAGGTGGGGGTTTTTGGTAGCAGATTAGGTTAGGAGGGTGGAACTCCAATGAATGGGATTAGTGCTTTATAAGAGAGACCCCAGAAAGCTCCCTCTCCCGTTCCACTGTATGAGGTCACAGCGAGAAAATGGCTGTCTATGAACCAGGAAGCAGGCCCTCAGCAGACATTGAATCTGCTGGCATGTTGACCTTGGACTTCCTAGCCTCAGAAATAAATTATGTTGTTTAAAAGCCATCTAGTCTGTGGTATTTTGTTACTGCAGCCTGAATGGACAAAGACAAACATTTACTTACAAACATTTAAAATGATAACAGTTGATGGCCGAGGATGGGCTCACCTGAATGCCAGGGGGGATGCTGTAGATGATCCGGATGGTTTTGCAGTCTGGGTGGCCAGGCAACGAGTGGGGGATGAGGTGGTACTCCATCTTTCCTGGAGGCTGGGTGCCTGTTTTCACCCCATAAATGGTCTTACAGGTTGGACACTGCAAACTGCCATCCTGAGGAGACAAGGCCAGGACAACCAGACTGGAAGACAGTTTTGGTAAAGACCTCCCCACCCAACCCCAAAAGGTACCATAGACAAAGGGCCTGGGGGACAAAATACTCCCAAGTGAGTAACAGGCCTTGGTTGTCCTTGGCTCTCAAGGCCATTTTTGCTTTCTCCAAAGTAGCAGGAGGCAAATTCCACCAACAGCCCTGTACCCCATACTAAGGGACATGTAACAGAGACCCTGTCCTTGAGAGGGAGGCCAGGCTTTGCACTGCACCTCAGGGCTCTGTTGGGGGTTCTGTGAATGTGTGTGTGTATGTGTGTGTGAGTGTGTGTGTGTGTGTGTGTGTGTGTGTGTGTGTGTGTAGTCCGGCTGCTGTGATGTAAGGGGTCACTGTTTCACAGCAGGGACTGGTGAGGTGTCATCTGAGGGGAAGAGAACCTGGACAGTAAATTCTATTCCCAGATTCCCAAGAAGAAATGGAATGAGAAGAAGGAAGGAGTGAGTGCACAGGGAGTATGTGTGTAGAAAATGCTGCTACACAGCTGGGACCAAAGCTCTCCAGGACACCTGCATCTCGTTGGGAAGGCAGGAATCCTCTGTGGAGCTATTTAGGGATATTTCCATTCAAGCTCTACTCATTTAAAGGCATAGCTTGTGTTCAGGGCAATTACTCCATGTGATCAAGGAACAGGAACTCAAGCTTTGGGGCTCAGAAGGGTCCCACTCTCTGCTCTGGCCTTAACCTGCTTCATGACCTTGAGTGAATCACTCCATTTCTCTCTGGGTCCTTTTCGCTCCTCTTTTGTGAGAAGAAACAACAACAACAACAACAACAACAACAACACACCTACATGCTTCAAAGTATTAGTGCCAAAGAGAATAAAGAATAGTGTCTAAAGAAATATTTTTAAAGAAGCATGGAAATCAATGGAAAGCGGTACTAGATTAATCTTGAATATAGTCATCAGAAAGGAAGTGTGTTAAGAAATCCCTTTAAACCCAAAACAACCTCTAAAAATGCAGAATCCCAAAGAAACCTTTTACTTTAGGGTCAGGAAAGTGTGCAAGGGTTCCAGATATGCATCACCCATCAGTGACTGAACATACACTTCCTAAGACATTGAGAAAGGTCCCTAGCACTTTGAAAAATCAATCATAGGGTTACATAAAGATGAAGGGAAAAGTTATAGCCATAGTTAACACAAAGGAGGAATCAATTTGAATCATACTAGTAATAACACCCTATAAACTAGGCATTGTTTTATCTCCATCTTCCAGATGGAAAATGAAACCTCAGAGTTGAAAATCTTGCCCAAGGTCATTCAGCTACTAAGCTAGGGTTCAATCTTGGGTCAGCTGTCTCTCTTGCCTCTACTCTTTCCCACAGCAAGAGAAGCACACAGCTGCCCCCTGAAAGCCAGACATTTTTTGGATGAGTAAGAGGTTGGAGGAGATCTGGGAAATCTCAGATCTGAAGCAATCTAAGCTGGGCCTGGAGAAACAAATACAGTTTGAATTCATGGAAATGGGGGTTAAAGGTTATTCCAGGTATAGGAAAGAACATTGGAAAAGGCAAGGACTTAGAAAAAGCTGGGACTTTGTAAGGAGATAGTTATCATCCAAGGACATTCCCAGATTCCCAGAAACCAGCTTTAACGGAGGGAATACCACACCACCTTCAGTAATGGACAAGACGGGAATCGCAGCCTCTCTGCCTCCAGCAGGGATTGTCCTGGCCGACCTTGGCAACAGTCCATAATGCCTTTGAAGGGCAATCAAGGGTGTTTGAAAATGTTCAAAGAAAGCAAATTATAACTGGAAATCACTAGTCTCAGAGAAGGAAGGATGATCAGGAAACCCATTTATGTCAGTATGAATGAACACTCACCATGGGCCCAGTGCTGTGATGAGAACTTCCTTCTCCTTCATTGATGGGGCTCATTTCACCTAGCAATGGGCCATGACAATGACCACTCCCCTCAAAAACCTCAGGGACAGAAGTCTATACCTCTCAGACCACCACGCCTAGTGTAGAGATTGGGGGGTTGGGTAGCACAGCCCACAGGGAAGGAAAAGACAGGTGTTTTGTTTTTAAAAAAATATATTTTAAATATATTTCTTTATTGATTTCAGAGAGGAAGGGAGAAGGAGAGAGAGATAGAAACATCAATGATGACAGAGAATCATTGATTGGCTGCCTCCTGCACACCCCCTACTGGGGATCAAGCCCACAACCCAGGTATGTGCCCTTGGCCAGAATTGAACCTGGGACCCTTCAGTCGGCAGGCCGACGCTCTATCCACTGAGCCAAGCCAGCTAGGGCTTAAAAAAATATATTTTAATTGATTTAAAGAGGAAGTGGAAAGAGAGAGAGAGAGAGAGAGAGAGAGAGAGAGAGAGAGAGAGAGAGAAACATCAAAGATGGGAGAATCATTGATTGTCTGCCTCCTTCATGCCTCAGACTGGAGATTGAGCCCTAAACCCAAGCATATGCCCTGACCAGGAATCAAACTGTGACCTCCTGGTTCATAGGTTGACACGTAACCACTGAGCCACGCCAGCCAGGCTAAAGACAGGTTTTGCAACAATATAATTTTGTGGAGGACGGATCCTACTGAGAACAGCCAAGATGACCACTCCTGATGCCCGGGGATGCCTTTAAGACTTCCTACATCACCTAGAGCACAACTCCAAGAGAGCCTTCATGCTCTTACTCCTCCAGGGCCCAGTGCGGGAGGTGGCAGCAGCCCCACAGGCTGGCACTCACCTTGTTGCCATTGTTGTACATGGCAACCAGGCAGTAGATGTGGTAGATGTGGCCGCATCTGGACAGCTTTCCCACCAGGTCAGGCTTGACCGTTGGCTGCGGGCCCTTGTAGCCTGAGGGGGCTGTGAGGCGCTCCATACAGATGGTGCAGTCCTGGGGGTGGCAGGGGACAGAGCAGACAGGCTGTCAAGCCTCTCCCAGCCTGGGAAGTTGGAGCATCCCCACATTGGTTCCCAAATGATCAGGTGAGCTGTCACTGGTCCTCTTCTAGAAAGCCCACAAACTAGGGTATAGGTGCCTTTGGGAATCTAAATATAGTTTTGTCTTGCTTTACACAACAGAAGAATTCCTGAAATAATTCCTGGTGTCAGTACCTGTTAACTTGGAGCTGGCCAACAAAATTACAATCTCCTTGTGAGCTGGGACGATACACTGTCCTTCCTTGGTGTTTTTCCATGGCTTGTGAAGGAAACGAATGTCTGCTGACAGGCCCATTGATAAGCTTTTTTAAAGCTGAACTAGGGTAAAGGAATTATAATTCTAGTGTACTAGAGGGTCTGCTATTTAAAGAAAGCTATAACAGGGTTTCTCACCCTTGGCACTATTGACATTGGGGGCTGGATAGTCCGTTGCTGCAGGGGTTGTCCTGGGCATTGGAGGGTGTTTAACAGCGTCCCTGACCTCTACCCACTAGATACCAGTAGCATCCCCTCTCCCCACTCCCAAAGTTGTGCAAAACCGCCTGTGGTTGAGAACCACTGATCTTCATCCAGCCCATTTTAAAGTCAGTTCCAACTACTCATCATTCTGCTTTTCTTAAATTCAGACTGTCATGTTAAGGTAGTTTAGAATCAATCAGCTCTTTGCTGAATCAGGAGATGAGAGAGATTAAGCTGCAGCTCGGAGCCCAGGTGGGAGTGCATCTGACCAGTTCTGGACCAGTCAGGACTTAGAAAGCAGCTCTTGCCACGTGGTGCGAAAACTCCGGAGGAGGAAATGCTGGTGGGTGATGGAGAAGGTGAGCCCTGCCCTGCCTCCCCTGCACTCACCTCATCTGGCGGGTGCCGGACCTTCTGCAGATACTTCTTCAGCACTTCTTCTGGGGTTTTACCTGTGGGGACAGGATGGTCAGTGCACCACTGAGACTGAGACAAGGGTTCAAATAGCCTCACCAAGCTGGACATGCCAGAGGAGAACCTTACCAGCCAGGCTTACAGCAGGAGAGGAAACGAATTCATTCTGCAATGGGATTTAAGAATTTGAAAGGGAATCAGGGGGCAGAAGAGGCAGAGAGGTGGTCTGAAGAGGTAGGAAGTGGTCCCACCTCCTTTACCTCCTGCATCACTTCCCTGACATCCCCCTGCCTGTTTGCAACAAACCCACTTTTTAGTGAGAAAGACTGAGTGGGTTTCTCTTCCATATAATCAAAGAGCTTGGACCTGCCCAGACAGTGTGATAAGAGCAGAAATAAAAGAACTCTGTACACTGTTACAGGTTAAAAAAAATGAGGTAGAATGTGCCAAGCACTGTCTCGATCTGCAATGTGGCATCAAAGTGATATTATTTCCATGGGAAACCAGGAGGTTGTGACCACAGCTTCAGAACGGTCTTCGCTGGCTGTTGACAGTGCAGTCGCAGCCAGTAGATGTAGCCCCGCAGCAGGGAAAGGCTGATGATCTGGGAAGGACCCTGCCAGGTGCAATGATTGTGGAATTTCTTTGGGGACTGGACCCCTTGGAGACAGCCTAGCCTGAAGGCAGGGAATGAGATGATCCGGCCTCACAAGCAGGCAGAGAAGGAAAAAAGGGTCAGTGCCTCTTCTTAACTTCTCCAAGCTTCCGTTTCTCACTTATAAAATGGGGAGGGGCAATAGCATCTACTCCAAGAGCAGTTTTGACAATTAAATGAGCTAATGGACATACAGCCCTTTTAGCACATTGCCAGCTAAGGATCCGATATGTGCTATTAATAATAACAGGAAGAGTGGGAAAGTGCAAATTCCTGTCATTTCCTATCAGATTATGAGCAAGGCAATCGAGTTCATTTAAGCAGAGAAAGTCTGATAGACTAGAAAAGTAGGACAAGGGTTTGAGGAAGTGGACCGGGCAACAGCCCAAAGCTCAATGCCGGCCCTTCCTTTCCACTGTCCTGCGGCATAACATGTTTGCAAGGTGGGGGCTTAAGGGTGACAGTCAACACATTGAGCCACCAATACCAGTGACCAGAAAGACCAGCCACAGGGCTGAGGCAGGTTCCTTTGGTACCAGGGCAGGCACAGGTATGGACCCCTTAGTTGTGGGATTGTAGGCACGTAGGAAGGAGCTCCTGAATGGGGGTTCAAGTGGCCAGAGTGTCTGGGGGCTTAAGAGGGACACAAAATAGTGGCCACTTCCCAACTGTCATGGATGCATTCCAAGACATCCTTGTTGGATATTGGTTGTGACTGGTTTCACTCCAAGTAAAGGGGAAAAAAACAGAGGTTCTCTGAGGTCATGACTAGCAAGTGACAAAGTTGGGACTTGAATTTAGTCTATTTTAGTTCCAATTCCAAGGTGGTCTTTCTCTCTAACATATTTCATTTATGTCACACTGGGTGGCAAAGGGGGTGGTGAGTTTCCCCCATGGAACTCATAATCTTTTAAAATAAGTTGTTTCTATAGTTTTAGAAATATAAAAATATGCATTGCTATGTTTCTTAAGAAGTCTCCATCTGATCCATACACACTCCACTATGGTATAATCCTGTTTAGCCTATGCAGAAATTAAGGCACAGAGTGGGTAAGCCATGGGGATGACCCTCAGTGGTGGAGGCAGAGCTAGGGCCAGAAGCCAGAAGCTAAGGAGGCTGATACCTTTCTTGGCTTGTTTTTTGGTGGTCTTGCGGCTTGTATTGGAAACCCCTGGGATGGATTTTATTTCGCTCTTGCTGACGGGGGGTGGGTGGAGGACCAGCTTTGGTGGCCTGGTGAGACACACAGGCAGCCCCGCTGCACTCATGAGGATCCCAGTGATGCCTGGAAGAGAAGAGCAGGTGTCAGGAAGGACTGGGGAGTTAGCTTCCCAACACCCCCTCAACTCCTCCCTCACCATTAACCTCCTCTTCTCCTCTCCACAGAGTTCTCGTAACTCAGGGATTCTCTACTTACCCTCCACCTTTCCCAGAAACAGATTCATTCACTCCTCTTCAACAACATGCTTTCCTTTTAGCAATCAGTTCTCCCCAAGTTCTTTCTACTCATCCAACCCAACTCCTACAATCCCCATTTGTTTTAATTAATATCCAAATGCTCTTTTACAAATGCTCACTACCTATTTTGTCACTCATTTTTCTACCTTCAGCAAGACTAGCCCAGGGTTTCTCTTACCTGCTAAGGCAGGATTGACAGGACTGGACCCATTTAGGTTCTTCACTGGGACGGTGGGGACCCTGTGGAAGGAAAGAGCAGATGCATTATGGTTTTAACAAGTGGGACAAAATGAGTCAGTGGTGGGACCTCAGAATTTCCCCCAGTGAAGAGCTTCCCTTTCTTACAGAAACTAATCGTCTCAACTAAAGTGCAACAAGTTCTTAGTGTGACCAGTGGGGAGAGGTCCTCGTCCCAGCCTATTGCTAGTGGGGGTGGATTTCTTGCAATATCCTGAGAAAGAATTTTCCGAGACTCGCACAGGAGGATGAGATGTTGTAGAAAGTTTTATTTCCCTGGAGTTTCCAAGGTCCCATTCCCTTCAGTCCAGTCATAGAAGTAGTGTAGCTGGGGCTTCAGCAGAGCTAACATCAAAGCCAGTGTCCTGAGTTTCCTTACCATGTTGGAGCCAAGTCCGGTCCAGCATCAGGCTAGCTTGGCTTAGGTTTCCCGCTTAGTCCATTGTGTGTGGCACCCGCATGGCCAGGGGCCATACAGGTAAATGCAAGGAAGCCAAGAACCAAGAGTCAGGAGCAACAAGAGAGAGAACTTCGTTTAGGGCAGTGGTCGGCAAACTGTGGCTCGCGAGCCACAGTTTGCCAACCACTGGTTTAGGGCATTATGTATTCCAAAATTTCGTGGGCTTGCATTGGCTTCAGCCACGAAGTTTCAATAGCATCCCCAGTTTTGACCTACAGGCAGTATTTTGTGGAAGAGCCACACTCAAGGGGCCAAAGAGCCGCATGTGGCTCGCGAGCCGCAGTTTGCCGACCACTGGTTTAGGGAATTATGTATTCCAAAATTTTCGTGGGCTTGCATTGGCTTCACCCATTCTGGCCAATCCATGGTTCCCCAGTTTTTACCTACAGGCAAGTATCTTCCCTAGTCACCCGAACCTTACTGTGTATGCGTCTATCTCCTCTTTGTTGGAACCCTTCCCCCAGTAATCTTCAGGGAATGCGCCAGTGGTTCCTTGGGGAGTGCAAAGTTGCAGCTTCCTAGTGAAGCTGCCCATATGACCATGCCTATAATGTCTGACCTTCCCTTGCTCCTTTTTTATTATTAATAACTAGCTAATTACAAGAGCATCATTAGCACCATAGCCAGAGGTGATATCTTCCAAACTAAGACCATGTCACTCCTCTACTCAGAACCTTAAAACTCAGAATGGCTCTCCTCAGTTAATTCAAAGTCCCAGCAAGGCCTACACAGCCCTGAATGTTCTGTCCATGCTCTTCACCCCAATCCTCCTCTCTCTCTGCTCTCCCTCATACAAATTGCCTCTTTGCCTATTCCTCCTACATGATTGGCACTTCCGGCCTCCGAGCCTTTGCATATGCTGTTCCCTCTGCCTAAAATGCTCTTCCACCAGATACATTCCTGGCTCCCTCCTATAACTCCTTCACTCTTGGCTCACATCTTGCCTTCTCAGTGAGGTTCCTGAGACCATCTTATTTAATACTGCTATCAGCTTAACCATCTCACCCTGGGACCCCCAAACCCTCATGTTACTGCTGTGTTTTTTAATTTTTTCCCCCATGGAATTAATAATTTTTTAAAATAAGTTGTTTCTTATTATCTCCCCTTCTAGAATCTAAGCTCTACAAGGGCAAATTTCTTTGTCCATTTTGTTCAGAAGCCTGACACTAGTAGGCATTCAATGAACAGTTACTGAAGGAATGAAAGAATAAAGAAACAAGTTCAAACCTTGGTGGACATCAGAGTCACCTAAGAAGCTTTGAAAGAGCCAGAGCCCCAAGCCTGCATTGGGGCACAAGAACTTGCATTTTGACACGCTTCTGCGAAGAGGATACAGATGCCACCAATCCCCAGTCCAACATTTGGAAACCATTGCTCTAACAGCTGTTACTTCTCCCACTCTCTGAGAAATATAAATATCAGGCAAAACCTCCTCCTCTCTCTGTTCCTCTCCCAGCAACTCAAGCCAAGCTGGAGAGGAGACAGCACAGCTGCATGGGAAAGACGAGGTCTCCCGGCGCCAACTAGAAAAATAGGGGACATGTGGGGCTCAGTCTTGCACCATCTCTCCCCACCCCCTTCACCACCCAGGCTTCCACAGCTGGGCTTGGAGGAAGATGTGGGCTTGGAGAGGCCAATGCACCAGGTCACAGATGACTCCAGGAGCCAGGCAGCCTGAGAAGCCGGCAGTTCTGCTATGGGGGTAGGGTGGTGCTGGGAAAACAGGAGGAGGGAAAGAGAGCATGTTGGTTCGTTTACTTACATTGTTTATTATTTGTCCATTCATGTTGAGCCAGGGACACAGCAGTGAACAAGACAGCCCAGGAGCCTTTATCCTTGTGTTATAATTGCTAACATGCACAGAGCCTGCCTTGTACCCGACACGTCTCACTGCTCACAATACGTAAGTCACCCAATCCTTCCAACAACCTACGCCAGAGGTGTTATTATGATCAACCCTACTTTAATAGGCAGGGAAGCTGAGGCACAGAGCGGTGAAGCCAACTTGATAAAGATCACACAGCTAAGGATCTGAATGCAGGAAATCTGGCTCGAGAGCCCAGCCACCTGTGATGCTGTGCTCTTATGTCTACTACATCATCTGATCACCTGATACTGCAGACAGAGTACATGAAGCTCAGAGAGTGAAGGAATACACACACACCTAAGAGGCGGCAGAGCTCAGATGGGACCTCAAGGCTGGGCAGTGGATCTGCCTGAGCCCCACATGCCCTGAGGTGCTTCTCCGGTGATGTTGCGTCTTGCAGGGCCCCTGTCCCTGCCCAGGGACCATGACATGTGCACAGCGTTGTGAGAAGGATGTGGAAATAACAGATGTGGGAGTATTTGTGTCTCAGCAGGCCACTAAGGGATACTTTTCCCCAGAAACTGTCCCTAGGATAAATCAAACCAGACGAGGGGGAGGGGAATTCAAAACAAGGGAATGTAGGCCAGGAAAAGAGTATGGTCTAGATTCTGGATCCTGTGACCTGCTCCTCGGGGACAGGCATGATATGGTGGGCCGGGAGCCAGGAAAACTGGGTTCAAATCCCAATCCTGCCAGTAAACCTCACACAGTCCAGTAACTTTTCTGAGCCTCAGCATCCTTATCTATAGAACTGTGAAGAACTGGGGTTAAAAGATGCTAAGGAGATTTTCTGACAATTTTCCCACCCCAGTACTCAAGAACTCAGTCCTCCACCCACAGCGGAGTAGAGTCCTCCTCACAGCAAGTCCTCACTCACAGGGCTGCAGAGGCTGGGAGTGGAGGCCTGGCCTCCTGTGCCTGTCCTGCTCCCCACTAGGGGGCAGCACCCCACTCAGCCCCGCACCTGCCTGACCCCTTCACCACTCCAAGGCCCCCACTCCCGCTGATAAGTAGTTGTGATCTGGGTGACAAAAGCTACCTTTGTTCCCACAAACTGGACTGGCAGGTTTCCACACCCAATCTGCTTAACCAGGAAATATTCCAACCCGCACAGCAACCCCCCAGGCAGCCCAAGAACTCTGGGGAGAGGCAAGGTCTGGAGAGAGGGAGGGTCTGCACGTCAGGCCTGGGACTCCTGTGAACACTGTGGGAGAGGTGGGTGTCCCTGCTATGCCAGGAAAGGGGAGCATGGCAGAGGGTTTGTCACTGGATTCTGGTGGCACTGGGGCTCGGGGAAGAAGGGAATATTTGTTTATGAAATACAGAAGGCTATATAGGAAGGAGCCCCTCCCCCAGCCAAGGGGCCTGGAAGTTGCCTTCCAATTCAGCTGAGCAGCAACATGTGACATGTGCCTTTGGGAGGGCCACCACAGCCTCTCTGCTCTTGCTGGCTGGGGCCCCTGTGAGGATGGAGGATCTGGAGCAAATACTTTGTAAATAGCCAAGCCCTATGCAAATTTGGGTGATTATTTACACTTTTGTTTCCCAACTGTAAGAGGAAGTTGGGCTTGATACAGTCTTCTCCTGCTATAATATTCCAATTTTCTCAGGTTCTTGAGGGCATGAAGTGTAAAGTGTCAAGTTGAGTGTTGGGCAGTCCTTAGGATTGTCGAGTTAGCAACAACTGGCCACCCCTCCCCCACTGTTATTGGTTAAAATGAGAGCCATGGAGACTGGCCCATATAGTCCACACCGGTCATACCCTGTTGGGGCCCCAGCTCCATAAGCCTGAACCCTCCTGGAAATCAGCAGCCCAGTGGCAGGCATGCTTCCGAGTCCTCCAGGCAACTCAGCTCAGCCAAAGCTGTCGGCCTAACCACTTGTTGATCAATCAGAAGACAATTCCCCTGCCCCCATTCTGTTGGGTTGATCCCAGGTATGGAGGGTGCAAGTTTTAATTTCTGTCCCTAAAATATAAAACTAGGAAAAGAGAAGAGCTGGTAAGGTGGCAGGGGAGGGGAGTCGAAGAAGGGAGAACAGCTCTGCAGATGCCCTGGTGAGAGCCAGTGTTTCTCTTGAAGTCATGAGCCAACCCAGGAATCCTCTGGCAGAACAATGGTCTTGTCTCTCCAGCAACTATGGCCTCATTGGAGATAGAGAAGCCTCAATTCTGGAGCAGAGGGCCAGAGGGGCGACTCTCGCCCTCCCCTGTACAGCCCCCCTCTCTCTTCTCTTTAGAAGCCCCCTGCTTGTGTCCCTGAATAATTTACTGGGTCTTTTGTTCCCCCCAAACCCTTCTCTCCATCCCACCTCTCCCACCCTCCCTGGTCTTCTTTTTTTCCGTGGGAAAGTTTCTTGAAGAGGTCATGGGCAGTGAGGGGTGTGGGGAGGGGCCACTGGACGACAGAAGGTCGATGGCAATGCCAGACAAAGGGAATAAACACGCTAATTAAATGGCCAAGAAAGACTGGAGCAGAAGATGGTAGTGGGGGTGAGGGAGGTGGTAGGAGGTGAAAAGAAAAGGGCTGGAAGCTAGGGAGGGGCCTCCCTTGTCAGGAAAACAGAGCAGAGAAAAAAACAACTTGTTTCTATAGCTCTTTTGAAACTGCACTGGCCGGCCCTTCAGCCTATTCTCTCACTCCAATTCTACTGGCTGGCAGAGGGAATAAAGCAGAGAGATAAAGAGCTGCCGACTCCCTCATTGGGATTTAAAGCGATCTGGGCTTCCTTTCCCTCAATTATGGCATGGGGTCACTTGGCATTTGTCAAGGGCGCCAGAAATGAGGTAAGGCTGCTCAGCTTTGACTTCAATTCAACAACTACATAGGGCATATTCAATAGATACCTGAGAATAATTGTAATAACAACAATAGCAGCTAATTCTGACCCAACTCTTACTATGTATCAAGCATTGTGCTAAATCTATACACCAAATATTTCATTTAATCCTCATGATAACCCTATAAAGAAGGTGCTATTATTACCCCCATTTTACAGATGAACAAAGTGAAGACAAGAGGATGCAAAACTTACCCCAAGTTACACAGCAAGGAACTTGGGTTCAAGTCTAGGCAGTCAGTTCTGGAGGCTGGGTTCTTACAAGTGCCAGCAATCACCCTGAATTGTTAGGGCCCCCCAAGATGCTATTGTGTGACAGTGAGTAGAAATTGAGTGGAGGCACTGTTTAGGTACCCAGTGCCCTCTCCCACATACTTCTGCCCACTCAGAGGAAGTCATATGAAAATCCCATGCACCTGACCAGTATTTGACTATTTTGTTAATAGTTTTCCCATAACCGAGGAGCCAGACTTAAGCAAAAAATAAAATAAAAAAGTAACAACACACCAAAACAACAACAACAGTGGATTAGGAGACTAAAACCTAGGTTCCCAGCCCACTCTGTGTGTAACACTCAGCTATGGGGCTCTCCCTGGGGAGCTAATGCATGCCTGACACTTGCATCACAGGGCAAGGGAATGGGATAAAGCTGGGGAGTGCACGTGGTAAAGGTTTTCACGATAACCCACGGGGCAGGCAGGGCAAGCATGATGGTCCCCATTTCACACGCGAGGAAACTGGACCTTGCTGAGATTCTGTGGCTTGCCCAGTGGCAGAGGAAGGTATACCCTCAGTCTATGGTATACCCTCCTTCATTCTTCCCAGGGCTGAATATCCATGTGCAGAGATCACCCTCTGGGCAGCCTGAATTTCACACTGAGGTGTCCAGTCTAACCCTAACCATCCCTACTGCCTGGGGCTCCTGGGCTACAGGCCAGGTGCCTCTGGAGAAAGGGAAATTGGGTGACGATGAGAAGCCAATCTCATAAGAAACCAGAGCTGGCAGGCAGAGGCTGTGGGCACTGCATGGCCCTGGGTCTCTCCCATGTTATGGTCGAGCAGATCAAGAAGATCATAAAAAGCAATACTCACAAAACATGCGACATCACTAGCTAGTGACTGAGACAATGCAGGGAATGTGTCCAGCACATGGTAAGGACTCACTACTATGGGCTGTTATTCCAATCCGAAGGCATCCCTCCAGCTGCCACACAGACCAGAGGAAAGGGACAAATCCTTGTTTGGCACCTACTGTATGCCGGGCACCGTGGTGCATGCTGGACAGGGAAGGGGCCCTGCAGAGTCTGGCTCTGCCACAGACTTTCTAAAGTGTGAATCCTGGTCTCTGCCATGATTAGCTGCGTGCCCTTGAGCAAGTTAACTGGTTGTGTCTTCATGTGTAAAATGGGGTCAAGCTGCCTACTTCACAGAGCTGCTGTGAAGGATTAAATGAGGTGATACCCCCCCAAAACTGGAACAACCTGGGTGCACAATTAATGTGGCCTGCTATTACAATCACACCTGATCTCTTTAGTCCTCACAGCAACCCCCACGTGGGCATGGCTGCCAGAACTCACAGAGGAGGAAGTGAGGGCTGTGATGTGAGGGACTGCCCCATCTCAGGGCCAGTAAGAGGCAAAGTCTCATTAGAATCGCCCCAAAGGCTGAAGCCTCCTCATCCACCTGCAGCCAGGGTGGTAGGACAAGATGACAGGGAGTGGAAAGTCAGTCGTTTGCTCTGCCTGGGGAGTAGAGACTCGAGGCAGCCATGCAAGCACCTACCCAGAGGCGATCAGCACCCGGGACTGCGCCATGGCCAGCCGCTGCAGGTTGGTCCTATTCAAGGTCGCCAGGGCCACCCTTCCTGTCTTGCCGTTGGTCCCCGGGGGGCTGGCAGGAGAGCCCACAGCCGCCCCTGCCGGCGTGCTGGCGGCCTGTCGCTGGATTGGCTGGGATGGGGCTGTCTTCACGGGGCCTCGGATGGTGCCCGTGCTGTCCAGGAGCTTGGCCCCAGGTCCTGGTGGTGGTGGGGGCAGCTTGACCGCTCCGGATGGGGGCACGTTCTTGCGGGCGGCTGGAGGCTGCGGGGGCCCGGCTGCCTTGACGCTCATCACCAGGACGCACTGCGGGCAAGAGCAGGGCGGGCCGGGTGGTGAGGCAGCTGATCCCGCGGATCCGGCTGATCCCGGGCTGGCCGGCCAGGACTGGGCCTTGGGCAAGGTGCCGGTGACCATGGGGTAGATGAGGTCCAGACGCCGGCGGACGCGGCGCTGGCGATGGGTCTGCCGGTTGATCTGGCCCATGGTGCTGAAGTCAATGACGTAGCTAAAGCCGATGGAAGTGAGGTCGATCCAGGGATGCTGCCTCTCGTAGGCGTGTTGGATGGTGATGCCCACTTCCATGTCGTAGGGCGTCCAGGAGCCGTTGTCGTTCTCCCACTCCCATACCACGCCCTTCCCGGGGGCCGAGGACGGGTCGTAGTAGTTGCGGCGAACTGGGCGGAGGGTCCCTGCCAGAGGGGGATAGAGGAGAGGGTCAGGGTCAGCAAGGAAAGAAAAGGAATTCTGTTAAATTCATAGGCAAACATCAAATGAGTCCTACTGTGTGCCAGGCACTGGGCTGCCTGTTGAGATATCAGCTTTGAATGAGACTCATTCCTGTCTCTTAGTCACATCAGGGTGAAAACAGATGAGTTACAAGGCAAAGGATATGGGAGGCAGTGCTGCTACCAGAAGCAGAAACTCCTGGCTTGGAGTGGGGACACCTTGATCTGCAGTCAAGTTTGTTCCCTTACTAGCTAATATAGACCCCTCAGCCTCCGTTTCTCCCCTGAGAAACAGGATGACTCCTTTGCTGAGTTTTTGTGAAAAGCAAGCGTGACTCCTCATTAACTCAACAAATACGCAGCCGTACATGCCAGGTTCTGCATTTCTCTTGGCCCTAAGGCACATAATACTCTTGACACCCAGTAGGTGCTCGTAAATATCATATCCTTTCTCCCCTATCCCTCTAAGTGTTCCTGCCTCTAGGGTTATGGATGAAAGGAACACAGGGCCATGGAAACCTAGAGGGCAGAGGAAGACCCTGCCTCTGTGGGGGAAGGCTGCCCAGAGACAGTGGTCACTGAGCTGGCCTGTTTTGTGAGAAGAGAAAGGAAAACCGGGTTGAGAGCACACTCCCAAATATCCCAGCATTAAGTCTTATATCAACAACAATAGTGGTCATAAGAATAATTTTCTATGTATCAAATGTCTTTCTTTCAAGAAACCCAAACCCTCCTAAAGAGATCATCTTCATTGTTACAATCTTGCTGCGGGTAGGGGTTAGGGATCGGGACAAGGCCAAGGTCATTGCAGGAGAACAGTACAACAGAAATGAGCCTGCAGGACAAGAAGGGTATACTAAGCCTCCAACTGCTGCCTCTTTCTCCCCTACCTACCCTACACCTGAGTTCAGACTTCATTTCATGGATATCATCAAGGCTACAGAAACTCAGCTCAAGGCAGGATGGGGAAGCTGGTGAAACCTTCAGGGTGACTGGAATCGCCAAATCTGTCATCTTGATCCCTAGCCGTCAAAGTGGTGGGAAAAGGCTCCCCTTCTCCGGCCTCTGACTCACCCTCCTCCAACCCAGAGGAAGACACCAGGACTTGGGACAGAATCCCATTCAAGGGGGGAAGAAAAGGAACAATGGCTATTCAGGCCTTTGCCAGGGTCATAACCCGCGCCCCCCCCATCTTCAACCCCCTTAATGACCCAAAACATCAACATTCAGAGGCAGGAGGGAGAGGCAGAACAATCCCCTATTCAGCAGCAGAACCTCTGCTGGGGGACATGGGGTAGCTAGCAGGACAGGAGGAAGCGGGGAGGCAATAGTCCCCTGGTTTGCTTCTATTTCCTTCCTAAGCAGCCAGCTTGCTGGGGAACAAAGAACACAGGCTTTGTGTCCAACAGCAGAGGACCCGCCCCTTCCAGCTGTGTGATTCAGCCTCAGTTTCCTCATCTGTTTGGAACCCAGGGAAGCTACTTCAAAGGGTGAACTTGAGGATGAAGTGTAGAAATGAATATAAAGTACTGAAATAACACCTGTCACGTGGCAAGAGCTCAAGAAAAGTTAGTGATTATTGTAATTTTTTTCTACTATTTGTCTGAGCAGAATGGAGGAGGAGGAGGAGAAAGAGAAATTTTATATATAACTCATGTTTGTACAATCCATGTGATCTTCATGGCAATCCTATGAAACACCTTTTAGAGATGAGGAAATTAAGTTTAGAGAGCTTAAATGACACTCTTTTGTATTCCTTCCAGGTAGCAGAGACAATGTACTGGACCAATTTTCACAGATGTGCTTAGAGGGCTTTTTTTTTTTTTTTTTACACCAGTGTTACCAGTCCCAGAGATGCCTGGGAATTGCCCCAGAGCTTCTGGAGATCCTGGCTCCCTAACCGACCCAGGTTTATCTTCTTTTGTGCTTGTATTGCCTCCACTCCTGACAAATAGACACCCCTTTTACCCTCATGGGTTCCCTCCTCCCCTACTGTTCCCTTCTATTGAAATGCCCCCTTTGCTTTTTAAAAAAAAACCTATTGAAATTCTCCTGACCATCCAGGTCCTATGCCATTTATCACCCATCCCTTGAAAGGTTCTCCTAGTCAGGAATCCGGGGTGCACCAGGGTCTCTTTTCATGCCGGCGCCTTATGTGGAAGCATAGACACCACAGTGTAGGTGCTTGCTTTCTAGTGCCCACTGCAGTGCCTGGCAATAATGAGGGCTCCATAACATGCTGTGATTGATTGACGACTCTGGCTACGTTAGCATTTCATTATTTGCCTCATCTGCTGAGTACCCACTAGTGCTGTGAGGAATGCCAAGACCTAGGCACTCCTCAAATAGCTTACAGTCTAAAACAAGACAGGTATGCTAATGACTATTTATTCATGAGGCAGAATAGCCACAGGAAGGGTGCCAACAAAATGCCTGTTGGCAGAAAATCTGACCACATCCTAATGCTTAAATCCTTTTCATGACTTCCCCTGAGTTCAGCACGGAAATCCCCTCCCCCCACTCTGCTCACATTTCTGTCACCCCAGTCTCCTTCACTCTCTGTCCACTGCCATGCTTCTCTGGACCTTTTCATAATGCTGGTCCCTCCCTCCAAACACTCAGGCAATTCTTCTCACTGCTCATCCTTCACATTTCCTCTGTGCTGCCTTGACCAGGTCAAATTCTGACTCCTATTTTTCTTATAGCATTTATCTTGATGTGCAATTACACATTTATTTGTGTGATTAATTAGATGAAAGTCTGTCTCCCTCCACTGGACTCCCAACCCCATAAGAGTGGACATCCAGGTGTTTGCTCAGGGCTGTATCCCACAATGCTTGGAATGTCCTAGGGGCTCAATAAATATCAATTAAATATTAAATAAAGTAATGATGGTTTGGAGAACATTTTAAGAAATGGATGATAAATAGCATAAGACCTGAATATAAGGAGAATTTCAATAGTCAGACATGACAAAGGACTGCTAAGCTGTCATGGATTTTATTTGGACACAATAAGGAGCCAGTGAAGTTTGTGACACAGAGAAGTGACAAGAGCAGAGCAGGTCTGTTAATTGTGTCTAAGTGAGAAGTAATGAGGGTGTTGGCAGTGAAAATGAAAAGGAGGTGACAGGTCGGAGGGACTCTACAGAGAGGAAATGGGTAGGACTTGACCATGAGGAGCTGAATGCTTTCCAAGAGCAGTTCCAGGATCACCTGCTTCAGAATCTTTAGAGGTACAATGCCTTCCAGCCCTGGTGGGGGGACCACCCTGAGTTCCCATGCACACTAAAGTTCTAACTGCTGGGCCACATGGTCTATGTGCCTGCACATGCCTAGCACCCGAGTGAGACTCTGAATGACAGAATATATCAAATAGTACTGAATTTTGACCATGGGCAAGTGGTAAAATGGAAGCACCAGTAACAGGCAGAGGGGTGTCAAGATGAAGAGCTGGGTTTGGAAGGAGAAAATGTTGAGTTCAGTTCAGTCCTAGCAGGTTAATTACAGACAGAAGACAGACCTCAGAACCAAAGTTGTGAGACAAAAGAGATGGTGGGATTTAATTCTCTGATTATTTTCCGAGGCCGTTCCATCTGGAATGGGCTAGTCCTGGACCTTCTATAACCAGGACCGTGAACTAGATGATCTGAGGAAATCCACTGGATCCTAAGGTGCAGTGACCCAAGGAAAAGGCCTCCAATGGGATAGAGATAAAGGATGTTCCCAGACTAAGGAGGAATAAAGAGAAAGAAAGTCAGTTTTTCTTGGCAACTCAGACACCTGCACTTCAAAGCACCTAAGATATTTCAGCTTCTGGAAAATGGGAGACAACACTTTCTAAGATGATCTGAGGTCTCTAGGGCATTTCATCCACATCTATGCAACACTGTGTTAGAGCATCTACTCTGTCCAAGAAATCTCAGTACCCCTCACCCTTACTAGAATGATTCACGAGGGCAAAACTTAGGTACTTAGGTGTTTGTTACTGCTACACTCCATATGCCTAGAACAGCACTGCATGAAGCAGGTGCTCCACTGGTGTTCATCACATAAAGGAGTAGAGCATAGAACAATTGATTTGGAACCTCAGCTTCCCCGTTGACTGGCTATACACTTTTGAATAACTTAATCTCTTTCAACTTGCTTCCTTTCCTATAAAATGGGAACAATAGGTCTTTCATAAGGCTCTTGGAGAATTAAAACAAGATAATGTGTGCAATGTGCTTGGGGCATCACTATATTGTAACTGTCACGTGGTCATCATTCCCTTTGCCTCCTCCATTCCTGTGCTCACAGAGGATGCAGGGCATTGTGGGAGCCTAAAAATCAGCTGCATCAGCTTCTGTCAAACCCTTTCATCTCTTTCCATCTGACCTTCTCACCACATGAAAGTTATAAAAGAGACCACAGCTCCACAGACATCTCTGAGCTGGAAAGATCCCTCCCTCACACCACACAGCTTCTAAGCAGCAGCATCAGGGGCCAAACCCACTCACATGCTGATCTGCATGATGCGAAGAAATTCCACAAGGAATCTTAAGCCTGTTCTTCATTCTGCAGAGGATAATGAGGCCTGAGCAGTGAAGGGACTTGCTCAAGGTCACACTGTAAGCAATGAGTCTGGGATGAGAGCCTGAGTCATGTCTCCCCCTCCAACTCTGGGTGTTCCCCCTTCCATCCTGCTGCCTGGGCCTTGGAGATGGCAGCGATCAGGTGCATTGGAAGATGCAGAGGAAAGTGATGCTGAAGTATAGAGCTCACTATCCTACAGCAGGAGGTTAGCCCAGGCAAGGTAAATGACTGTAGGTGAAGAGGAGCCAACCAAGGCCTTTGGAAGCAGCCAAGACCCAGAGGTCCCCATCTCTTCTCTTCTTCCAGATTCTCTAGCCTCAAATGCTTAGAGGAGACCAGCATGGAATGCAAATAAGCTCTGACTGGGAGGCTGTCTGGGGGAAGAAGTGTCCAGGGCAAACAGAGGCGGCAGAGGGTGTCTGCAGCCTCCTAGGTATCTCCCTGGAGACAGGCTGGATGAAGTCAGAGCCCAGGAAAGCTGAGAGTCTGAGGGCTCCCTTGGCATGAGGGCAGGCTACTTCTGAAAAAACAAAGCTCCCATCTCAGGAAATGTCCCCACATAGAGGCGCCAACAAAAAAAAGAGAGGAATTGCCTCTACACAGGGGACTTCCAGCTCTCCTTTGTTTATGGGGATGTTTCTGGTTCCCAGCTTCAAACTATGGCTTAGGGGACAGTGGGTAATTTAATTAGACATTGCCAGGGCTTGGCCGAGGTTGCCTGGGAGCTGGTGGTTTAAAGTTCCTACCCTGTCATGGCCTCATCAATGAGCTATATTGAGAGGAACTGTGTGTCTGTTGGTGGAGAATGGAGAGGAGGGGGCTCCAAGTCCAGAAACCCAGAAATCCTATTCTACTTTGACAAGCTCCCTGACAGACCCAGCATTCCTGGGAATTCAGCCCAGTGCCTCTAGCACCCAGTGCAGGGCCTGGCACTGAGGAGACAGACAAGAATGCGAAACACACCCTGAGGCAGTCTTTAAAATGATCCAGGACCAGCTCTCTGCCTCTGGTCTAAAGTCTGCAGAGCACCAGCAAACTCTTCCCCGAGGAGAGGCCAACCACCACCTGGTGCCTAGCCTTGGACTAAACAGCTTGTCCTTAGGGAAGAGCGATCAGACCTGGGGGAGGTGGCTGCTGTCTTTCAACCCGGTTTTCTCCAGAACTTCACTTCTGTAGAAAGGGCCCTTCAGGCCATGACCCTTTCTAGGCACCATGTCCTTAAACGCTGATTAAACTTTCTCCTTTCCCAACTGTGAGACAAGGGCTGGGACCTTTATGTCACTAGGGTGGCTCGCCATGTGCTGCAAAGACTTAGTTTCAAATAGAAAAGCCTGGGTCTGTTTATTTTGAGCAGAACTGGAATTCCCTGTCAGGTGTCTTAGCTGCTGGTCTTCCTGGTCCCACCTCCAAGGCTCCGCTGTCCCCCTCTCCAGACACATGTCCACCCCCCAATCTGAGGCCTCTGCTCTCACCTCCACAACCTCTGTCCAAATTACACAATTACATTCCCTCTCTGCACCTCAGCCACACTTAATCCTCTTTCTCAATCTCCCATGTCCTCCTTACTCCCTCTTCGTCTCAGCCATCTGAGCTCCACCTCCCTCCCTTTCCCACCAGGGTTTAAGCCTCCTCTCCCCTCCCCCCCATGGTAACACGTCTGGAAGCCTTTCCCCAGAAAACTTTACTCACGAAGCCAGTGTCTGCAAAGTCTTTGGCAAAGAGGTTGTTGGGAGTCATGACTAAAGATGGGACAGGAGGGTGGAAAGCTACCCCTTTCCCATGAAAATCCTAATTAGCACACAGGATGTGGGGCTTTCCAAGGGGGCTGAGATGCCCAGCTCCAACAGCTGTTCTCTGGCCTTCTGGGACTCTCCCAGGCTTCCTCTCCAGTCCCTCCTCCCCACACCTGCCCCTCCAGGCTCCTCTGCACACTCTTGGGAAGGCCCAGCCAGAATTCCAGAAAGAACTTCCACCACTCCCCACTCCCCCCCGCCCCCCCACATGAGACTAGGGGAGACAGACTTGTCCCAAGTCATCAACTAAGTCTGGACACACTGGGCCAAGCAAACAGGCAGCTCTGCCCTGCCCCTCCGCCAAGGACCGCCACCCAGACCTCCCCCTTGCCGTCTCTCTTCCTTGCTCTGATGGGAAGGCTGGTCAGCTGGGAAGTGAGATTGTGGTGGCCACAGTGGCAACTTGCATCTCACAAGAAGATTGTTTGTGGTCTGGGAGGCCGGAGTGTCCCTCCCAGTCGACGGTTTAAGGAGGAAGCTTGGGGGCAGTTTCTCCTTAGGAATCTGTCTCCTCCTCCTCCCCTCCGAGGACAAAGGGAGCGGAGTGGCTTCCCTGCCAGACATTCCGAGCCCGGTGCCCGCCCCCCTCCCTCTCTCCATCTGCTCGGCCTGTTGCTTCAGCCCTGGGACTGCACGAGCAGCCGCACCGGCGGATGCCACAGCATCCAGGGCGCTTCAAGCCCTGGAATCCCCCAACTCCAGTCTCCCCTCCCAGGGAGCCCAGCCCTTCCCATTGGAGACTACCGCTAGAGCCTCCGGGGAATCTCTGCTTCCTTCCCCAGTTCCCACACCCAGCACCCCGCTGTGGGAAGGCACCCCACACAGGGGGGCAGAGGCAGTAAGGTGGGTGAGAAGGGGGATGTAAGGCAGGCCCAAGGGTGCCCGGGGCAAAGCAGGGTCAGCCGAGGTGTGGGCGATGGGAGCAGGAAGCCTTTACTAGGGGCTGGGATTGCTTGTGGCCGAGGTGGCGTCACAATTTCCACCGGGGAGGACCTGGGTCCACCAAGCGCTTAAAAGGGGGCGTAAAAGAGGAGTTGGTAGGGGCTAGGGTGCAGCTGGGTTTGCATAACCAGAACACTGACACCAATTGCTTGGGGCTTATTGCAGGGGGGAATCTTAGGATCTTGGGCAAGAAGCGCCCCCTCCACGACCACCTCTGGGAGCCACCACAGCGCGGAGGTGCAGACTGGGTGGGCCCCTGTGGGCTCGCGCCGCGGGAAATCTCAGGGCGGGGAGGGGAGGTGCGCGCGGGCGGGGCAGGGGCGGCCGGCTCACCCGTGTCCTGGCGGAACTGGTTCATTGACTGCAGGTCGATGATGTAGGGCGCGAGCCGGCTGTCACTGGTCCAGCACCACGCT